TTCTCTGTGAGAAGGGACTTCTGTAGCGCACAGGACCCAGCTCTCCGGCGGGAACACATCTACTGAGTGAGTGAAGTTTGTGAAGTCCCTAACTCCTGCCAGAACCCTGTCGATGCGGGGTTTCTGGCAGGCTCGGTATCTCAGGGCGTCGTGGACTTGGGGCTCTAGGCCCCCTCCAGGGTCCTGGGCGACCTCGAGTCTGCTACTGTCCCCCAGTGCGACCCAGGCACAAGGAAGCAATGTGCCGGCGAGCAGCCCCCCCCACCCCCGCCCGTTAGGTTCAAGTGGCCGGGCCCCAGCGCCTGTCCTTTCGGGGCTTTACACAGGCTTCGGCCCGGTGGTACGCTGCCAACCTCCACAGGCCCAGCGGCAGGGCCCGCCCACTCTGGCAGCCCTCACCGCTTCAGCTTCAGGTCCCCAGGCCCGTTAGGTGCCTGCGGGCCGGGCTCTTAATTCTTGTACCCCAGAAGCAGGCTTGTTCCCCTCTCCGAGACAGGAGACCGCTCCTAGGTTAGGCTCAGGTGGGCCCAGCACCTGCCACGGTGTCTGTGGTAACCTAAGTTACCAGTGTCTAATACAAGGCAGGCTTTCTGTAATACTAGATGTGAATGGAGGGAATGTTTAAAAAAAAAAAAAAAAACTCATGTTATCTATGTTCAGAAAAGGCACTGAGATGGATGGGTTAAGGAAAAAATCTAACACTTTTCTTTGACATATAACTGGGTGAAGTAGAGGCCCTCCCTGGTGGCGCAGCAGGTTAAGGTACCATGAAGCTCTTTGCAACCACTGCAGTGGGAGTTTGATTCGCACAAGGGAGCTGACCCACATGGCGCTGCTCTCCTCAGCAGTGTGTTTCAGTGGATGTGCCTGTTCTGCTCCCCACTGGTGAATCCTCTCATCCCACCCCCACCGCACCTCTGGCCTGTACCCCAGTTCTTGTGTGCATAAATAAATGCTTAAAAAAAGAAAACTGGGGCCCTCCCTGGTGGCACAGTGGGTTAAAGCACAACACAAAGAAGCTTAAGCCACTTCTTCATGAGTTTGATCCCCACCTGCCCTGGAGGAGATCCACATGGCGTGGCAGACCTCTCCTGACCCGCCCGCTGCTCCCCTCAGCAGTGTACTTCGTTGATCTGCCTGTTCTGCTCCCCACTCTGTCTCTGGTGAATCCTCTCACCCTCCCTATCTCTGGCCTGTACCCCAGTTCTGTACAAATAAATAAATAAATCTTTAAAAAAAAAGAAAACTGGGTGAAGGATGGAGGTGGGTATATGTGTGTGAGAGAATGGGGAGCAGGACAGGCAGACCTACTGAAACACCTGCTGAGGGGAGCAGCAGGAGAGGTCAGTCAGCACAGATCAGCTGCCTGTCTGGGGATCAGACTCAGGCTTTAGGGGTGATAGCACCAAGACTTAACCAGGAGGCCCTTCTCACTGTTCTTTCAAAAGAAGACTAGAGATGAAGGGGAGCAAGGACTCATGGTAGGTACCACATAAGCAAAAGGCTGTGTTGGTCAGGGCCTGTTCAGGAGACCACTGTGGCCCAGTGGAGGTATTACATGGTTTATACCAAGGAGCATTGTGGGGGATGACAGATGAAAGTGAGGTGGATTGGGTTCTAGGATGTGGATAACTTGAACAGCCCTCTCCTACCCTCCAACCTCCTTCCACAAACACACACTGAACCAGAACTCAAATCTGCATCATAAATTTTATTCCCGATGCGGGACAGATTCCTTCCATCCCCAAAATGAATCACCAGCTGCCCTGAAGAGATCTAGGCGATTCTCTGTCTCCAGGGAAGGAGTAAGAAGGCCAGGTACCAGAGTCAGGGAAGTCTTTGCAGCTCCCCAGCCTTCTTATCCTCCCCTTCTCAACAAAGGATTAGTTGCTACCCATTATTAACCCTCTAATCCACTCACCCCTTAAAAATAAGAGCCTTCACTATTAAAACAAAATAACAAAACACACCACCTCAAGTATTCAGGGAAGGTGTTCTGGGATGGGGCATAAGGTTAAAGGTCATCCATAAAAGGGGCAAGGGAAGAGGAGCCATCACTGTTTCTGCTGCAGGGCCTCCTTCCTGGCCGCATCCTGGAGCAACTGTGTGTCAACCTCATCTGCGGGCAGCTGCACATAGCGGACCACTGAGCCCCGGATGAAGCAGTTCTTCACTGATAACTAGACAAAAAGACAAATGCGAAAACATCCTTCAACGTGTTACCCTCCCACCTAGATGCTCTTAGACGTGGTTTCCTCTTTTCTACCATCCCCAACTCACCATGTGAGGGTATTTCTCAGGGTCTGTGACACTGATGTCAGTCAGTTTGATATTGAGATACTAAGAAGAGAAACGATCATTAGCCGCTAGGACAAGACATGAGTACCCACCCCTTAAATACCCCATCTTCCCCCCAGCCCGATTCTGGGTCCTTGCTATACCTCACCTGATCCACAGAATGGAGTGTTCCACAGATGCTGTCAGGGGCAGAGAGGGAAAAACCAAATTAGTTCATATCAAAGACAACACAGGTGATTTTAGAGTAGGGACAGAACATGGCTGGGGGATGTCAAGGACTTGAAGTCAGAAAAGGTGAAACTAAAATGGGAATGGGAGAGAGTATATCCAGTGGTTGTAATTTCAGATCTCAACACCTTTTCTCCTGAAACTTCACTCTTTCTTAACAGCTACCATTAAACAAGTCCTTGACCTCTATTCCCCAAGGTATCTGAATCTTTACAGCACTTTACAGGATACTGTAATCATCTAGGCATTCAGAGAGTTGGGCAAATATAATTTGCCCAAGTTTAGGACAAATAAACAGACTCCATTCATGTCTGACTCCTAAAATCATCAGGTATTTTCAAATACTGCTTCACAACCAGTCCCATGTAAAGTAGTCCCAGTCCCATGTCCAAGTGTTGTCCTCAATGATGAAGGTACAAGGGACGTGTCCTTTCCCCAATCCTGGAGCCCCCTGAAAAGTTAATGAGGGAAGCTATCAAAACACCATGGCTCAGGTGTCCCAAGCCATGCTACCTCTCTTCCAATTTCTTTTTCTTTTCTTTTTAAAAAGATTTATTTATGCATGCATACAGAACTGGGTATAGGCCAGAGGTGCAGGGGCAATGAAAAGACTCACCAGAGACGGAGTGGGGAGCAAAACAGGCCAACTAAGTGTACTGCTGAGGGAAGCAGCGGATGGGTCAGGAGAGGTCTGTTGTGCCATGTGGGTCAGCTCCAGGGTGGGAATGGAACTCATGCTAAAGAGGCTTTAGCTTCTTAGTGCTGTGCTTTAACCCACTGCACCACCAGGGAGGGCCCTCATCCAATTTCTTTAACGTCAAGGGCTTCAACACTAATCCCACAACCTCAAATCCTCAGTTGTACTTTTCTAGTTTCCCTGACTAGGGATCCCCATCATCTGTGGATGTTTTTCCTAACATTTGCCAATCTCCTCCTCGTCCTCCTCTGACATCTACACACCTGAATCCAGGCCAGCCTCTACCTTTGCTGCCTAGATCCTAACCATCCTGCAAATGATCACCACATTCTAAGCTCTGTAGAACTGTGGTTTTCAAACACCGATGTGTACAAAGGTTTCATGAGACCATTTAAGCCTGGGAAGTGTGTGCTCACTGTGCATGTGGTGTGCGAAAGGCTGGCAAGTATTTTTTTCCTAATTAATTGCTCTCTGTGTTCCTGTTTATTTGGTCTTAAATTTTTTAAATGACTGTAATGGTTTTAAAATGTCCTTATCTTGTATGCCTAAAAGTTGAGTTCGCTGTTGGGCTGTAACTTTCACCAAATTACCTACTGCCTCAGTTGTGGTTTCATCATATCCCTGGCTGCTGAAGTGAAGTAACTTCAAGGAAATACAAAAGGTTATAGTACAGTTTAATTCAGTCCCCGAAGAATGAGGGAGGGAGGCCTCCCTGCTGGTGCAAGGGCAAAGCACTATGAAGCTATCGCAGCCACTGCAGCACAAGTTAGATCCCTGGCCAGGGAGCTGACCCACATGGTGCAGCAGACCTCCCGTCTCACCAGCTGCTCCCCTCAGCAGTGTATTTCAGAAGATCTGCCTGTTCTGCTCCCCACTCTGTCTCTGGTTAATCCACTCACCCCTCGTACTTCTAACACAAAAGTGATCTGAAAACAGACATGAGATCACAGAGCTCTTTTCCCAATCCACTGAACTACCTTCAAATCTTGTAAGTCAGGAGCTTTAGGACCCAGGACTAAAACAAGTTGGAAGATCCAGGAAAAGAGAAAAGAGGAAAATAAACAAATCATCTCAGAAAATTGCCCAGGCTTGATTTTGACTTCCATATTTGTCTAATTGACCCCAATCTATATTTTATGTGCAATGCCAGTCCTATAAATGAAAATCTCTGACCTAAAAGGCAACTCTCTCCCTTTATTACTCCATGTCAGTGTATCCCCCACTAAATTTTATTTATGCATACAAGTACAGGGTGCAGGCCAGGGAGGCAGGGAGGCGGTGGGGGAGTGGGGGAGGTCGTGGGGAGGTGTGGAATTCACCAGAGGATTTATCAGAGATAGAGTAGGCTAGCAGAACAGGCAGATCTGCTGAAATACACTGCTGAGGGAGCAGGGGGGAGACAGGAAAGGTCTGCTGGGCCATGTGGGTCAGCTCCCTGGACAGGGATGGAACTCATGCTGCAGTAGCTAGCGATAGCTTCTTAGTGCTGCAACTTAACCCTTTGTGCCAGCAGGGAGACCCCTCCCCCACTAGGATATTATCTCATATACAAATATAGAAGACACCTTTGAGGAGAGAATATACTGATTCAAACTTTTTAAAGGACAACTATATAAAATTGAACAATGATGTAAGAAAATTTAAGTTAAAAAAAAAAAACAATAAAGTAAAACCACATAACAGATATTATCTTAAATGTGTATCTAGAGGGCCCTCCCTGGTGGTACAAGGGGTTAAAGTTAAAGCACTGCAAGCAAGCATCAGCTGTTTCAGTTCAAGTTCAGTCCCCAGCCCTGGAGGTGCTCCATGTGACATGGCGTGGCAGACCTCTCCTGACCTGCCCACTGCTTCCCCCAGTGTATTCTGTCAGTCTACCTGTTCTGCTCCCAACTCTGTCTCTGGTGAATCCTTTCACTGCCCCTGAACCTCTGGCTTGTACCCCAGTTCTGTATGCCTAAATTAAAAAAAAAAAAATCTATTTCTCCCAAATAATTATGTATAATAATGTATACAAAGATATATGTTTATGGCAACAATATTTGTAAAAGCAAAGAACTGGAGACAGCCAAAGTGTCCAACAACAAGGTTTGGTTAAATTAGTTCCTGTCATGTAATAAAAATGCTACAGATATTAAGAATGTTAAAGTACAACTTGATTGCCATGGAAAATACCCACAACCTACTGTTAAGTGAAAAGTAAAATTCAAAATTGCATTAAGAAAATGAACCTGGGGACTCCCTGTGGCACAGAGGTTAGTCTCAGCGCTATCAAGCTATTGCCAGACTGAGGCATGAGTTCCATCTCCAGCCATGGAGCTGACCCACATGGCCCAGCAGACCTCTCACCTGCTGCTCCCCTCAGCAGTTTATTGCAGCAGAGCTGCTTTTTTGCTCCCCATTCTGTCTCTAATGAAGCCTCTCACCACCTCCAGCACCTCTGGCCTGTACTCCAGTTCTTGGTATGCATAAATAAAACCTTTAAAAAGATATATATGAGGTCCTCCCTGGTGGCACAGCACTAAGAAGCTAAAGCCACTTCCACATGAGTTCGATTCCTGCCAGCCCCAGAGACCTACATGGTGTGGCAGGCCTCTCCTGACCCGCCTGCTGCTCCCCTCAGCAGTGTACTTTGTCGATCTGCCTGTTCTGCTCCCCACTCGTCTCTGGTGAGTCCTCTCACTGCCCCTGCACCTTTGGCTTGTACTGCAGTTCTGTATTCATAAATAATAAAAATCTTTAAAAAAGACGGGTTCATGGGCGACTGGGTATTGGGAATTATATGGAGATTATACCTAAGGGGAGAAATCAAACATTGTACAAAAAATGAACATTGTAAAAATAAAAAGTATATTAAAAATTAAAAACAGGCCCTGGCTGGTGGTGCAGTGGGTTAGGACACAGCACTGCAAGCTAGGCATAGCTGCTTCAGTGCAAGTTCCATCCTGGCTCCGGAGGTGATCCATGTGGTGCAGCAGACCTCTCCTATCTTGCCCACTGCTCCCCTAAGAAGTGTAATTTGTCATTCTGCCTGTTCTGCTCCCCACTCTGTCTCTGGTGAATCCTCTCACCCCCCATCCCGCACCTCTGGCCTGTACCCCAGTTCTGTATGCATAAATAAATAAATCGTAAAAAAAAAAAAATCAAAAGCAAACAATCAAGAACACTATCCTGGCCCTGTGCAAGAAGGTCAGGCCACCAACAGTAAACATTGTTTCTAAGAAATTAAAACTTGAATGGTAGTAATAAAGTCTATTGCAATGCTAGAAGAACCAGAAAAGCCTTTCCAGAAACATAAATTTAATCCAAGTTCTAAACGATTAGAAGCTAATAGGTCGACATAGTAGGGGTTTTACAGGTAGTACAGTGGGACATCATAGGTTTTATGATTATTTTACATTTTTATTTAATATAGGGAAATTATCCCACATACACTATTCTGCAACAGCTTTCTGTATTAGTAACTTGATTCCTATGTGGTAGTAATATAATAGTCAAGTATTAGTTTTGTTAACCAATCCCCGATTTCTGGCTATTACAAATAAAACTATAAACACCTTTGTATGTGCATTTCCGCTTGTAGAACTGATTCTTAACATTTCTAGAAGTTGGGTTAAAGGAGTATAAAAACTAATCAGAAAAAACAAAACGTAGTTTTGTAAAAAATGTTATTGATACCTCCACCCTCTCCTTAGTTATTTACAATTCTCTGTATTGTTTTCCCATACAAGGTATAACTCCCCAACTAATCTGCAAGCTTAAGCTTAGCACAAATAATTTTTTGTTTCTCTCCACCTTTTTCAGCCCTCAAATATATCTTAAAGAGGTTAGAGGGTGCTGGGCACATTCACTCCCTCAAGACTTGTTGGAACAGGCACCTACCTCAGGTCATTCTTGAGCTCCACCACGACATCCTTGCCCACAAGGGACTTGAAAAAGGAATAGAACAGCTATTGGGCGAGAGGAGGAAAACCATCACTGGAAAGGGACACGACAGGGAGGGGCGCCCCCTTTCCAGTACTATCAAATACTTGTGGCAGAATCCCACCACATCTCTATCCGTCCTCATGACATCCCGGAATGAATGGCCGGTGACAGGGATGAACGGCTGCAGTCCAAATGATGCCACACACGTTCTTGAGCCTCCGATTTAAAGCCCGAGAGAGGCTCTGCTTGCACTCACTGGGGATCCGGCGGGACCATCGCTCAACCGACCGCCTCTCCGGGGCTCCGGCTAACTGACCACAGAAATCCCCCACCCCGAACTCTGCAACTCTCCCACAGCCAGGTCTCCGTCAGAGAAAGGCCTCTCGGAGAATCTAGCTGTCCCACCAATTCTTGGGTTTTTTTTCCTCCTCATACGGGAGAATAATGACACTTGCTCCCAGGTGTTTCTTCTAGAGCGCAGAAGCTAAGGCTGGAAGGAAAGCGCTAGGCCCCAAAGCCAGCCTGGAGGGACAAAGCCGGGACCCCAACTCCGCTCCCCGCCCCAACCGTCCGAATCGCCCGCGCTCCCGAGGGCGCCCCCTTGTGACGTCACGGTACCTACCATGGTGCTCGCGCCGCCGGCAGCCGGCCTGACCGGGAAAGCGAGAACCGGGTGCCACTGGCCGGAGGCCGGGCGGGAACCGGAGTGCAGGCCCCCGCGTGCGAGAGGCGGGGTCGCGCAGGCGCAGCGTGAAGCGCGGCGGAAAGCTGAGGAACTGAGAGCGCGCGGCTCGCGGGAAGCAGGCGGGCCAGTGTCCAAGGAACGGGAAAGCCCGGAAAGGGGCGGGGTCCCAGTCTCCGACTTCCTCCCTGAGTGGCGGGCTCCCACCGCGCGTGCGCGGAACGCCGGGCAGCCTGAGCCCGACCCGCTGCGCCACTCTGAAGTTATTTTCTGTGACAGGGTAATCCACGGGATGATTTGCCCGTACCTCACAGACACTTCCTATTGAACACTGCCCTGCAGCTTGTGAAAACTGATGATTTGTACACTTCTTTATGTTACACTTCGATAAAAATTTAAAAATAAATTTTGAGTTCCCCAAATCAGGACCCTCAGCTCAAATTATATGTATACATGCACACTCATGCCTCCAAGCTTTATAAATAGATTGTGACAATAGGTGAAAAAAATTTTTTTAATTGAATGACGATTTCATCCCACAATTCTCAACTTGCAGAAAAGTACCCATTTGTCAGGAGTTTGTTGTAGAAATAATCTCTTCACCTAAAATGACCAGGATATCAGCAGAGGTTTGTCCCTCCCTTCTCCCCACCTGTCCCCCCATGCCAGGTAAATCCTAAGCACCTACAAGTCTATCACTGAGTATCACCAATAACTAGGTAACAATTGCTCTCCCTGCTGATAGTCAAAAGTTATTTTCCTCTTTGAAACAATAGCATCATGAAAACTCAAATTTGTTCTTTACATCTCTATCACTCACAAACCACAATCGGAACACATGCTTTCTCCATTAACTCTTTTTCCTTACCTTTTAAAGATACACTCACAATTTAAAGAAACCAGAAATGATTTGCTTTAGGAACAAATTTACTGGGTGACAAATAACCATCCATACAGGAGTAAGTTGGAGGGGCCAGAAATAAATAGCAGACATTCAAAATCATCAAATGGTTCAAAGAGTGGGCTAGTATTCCAGAATTAGAAATAGGATGTTGTAGTGTGAGATGAAATATGCAACTCCTCCAATCAGAATTTCAAAAGATTGGTAAACTAGATTCAGGTTCAATCAATTCAAGAATCATAAAAGTGTTTGAAGATGGGGGGGAACAAAATTCACCTTAAAGGTGACCCCTGAGCCCTCAAACTTCAGATAACTAATCGACCTCTTCAATGGTGGGGCCTGTGGCAGCCCTTCCAGGAGTATAACCTGTTCCACAGGTAGGCCCAGTGCATCCTCCCTGATACAGTTTTGTGATGATTGGGTTACACACCTTCTCCAAGTCCTTTCTCTTATGATCAAACTCATCTTTATCAGCGAGCTGATTGGCTTCCAACCACGAAAGGACCTCACTGCATTTATCCAATATTTTCTTTTTATCAGCGTCACTAATCTTGCCCTTTAAACCTTCATCACTCACAGCACTCTTCATGTTAAAAGCATAGGATTCCAAAGCATTTTTTGCAGTGATTTTCTCTCTCTGGACTTCATCCTCAGCTTTGTATTTCTCAGCATCCTGCACCATGCGTTCAATCTCCTCCTTGCTCAGGCGGCCTTTATCATTGGTAATGGTGATCTTGTTGGCCTTGCCTGTGCTCTTGTCCATAGCTGTTACATTGAGAATACCATTGGCATCAATGTCAAAGGTCACCTCAATCTGAGGAACTCCTCTGGGTGCAGGAGGGATTCCAGTTAGGTCAAAGCGCCCCAGCAGGTTGTTGTCCCGGGTCATGGCCCTCTCACCCTCGTATACCTGGATCAGCACCCCAGGCTGGTTGTCTGAGTAGGTGGTGAAGATCTGTGTCTGCTTGGTGGGGATGGTGGAGTTGCGCTTGATTAGGACAGTCATCACGCCCCCGGCCGTCTCCAGCCCTAGAGACAGGGGAGCCACATCAAGTAGCAGCAGGTCTTGTACCTTTTCAGATTTGTCCCCCATCAAAATGGCTGCCTGTACTGCAGCCCCATAGGCCACCGCCTCATCAGGGTTGATACTTTTGTTGAGATCACGTCCATTAAAGTAGTCCTGTAGCAGCCTCTGAACCTTAGGGATACGGGTGGAGCCCCCTACTAAAACAATGTCATGGATTTTAGCCTTATCCATCTTGGCATCCCGAAGCGCCTTCTCCACAGGCTCCAAGGTGCCCCGGAACAGGTCTGCACACAACTCTTCAAATCGGGCTCTGGTGATGGATGTATAGAAGTCGATGCCCTCGAACAGGGAGTCAATCTCCAAGTTGGCCTGCGTGCTGGACGACAGGGTGCGCTTAGCCCTCTCGCAGGCCGTGCGCAGCCGCCTCACGGCGCGCTTGTTCTGGCTGATGTCCTTCTTGTGCTTCCTCTTGAACTCCTCCACGAAGTGGTTCACCAGCCTGTTGTCGAAGTCCTCCCCGCCCAGGTGCGTGTCCCCTGCTGTGGCCTTTACCTCAAAAATGCCATCATCTATGGTCAGAATGGATACATCGAATGTGCCTCCACCCAGATCAAAGATTAAGACATGTCGCTCTCCCTGACCTGCTTTATCTAAACCATAGGCGATGGCAGCCGCTGTGGGTTCATTGATAATTCTTAGCACATTGAGACCTGCGATCACACCAGCATCTTTGGTGGCTTGGCGCTGAGAGTCATTAAAATAGGCTGGCACAGTGATTACAGCATTGGTGACAGGATGGCCCAAAAAAGCCTCAGCTGTCTCCTTCATCTTAGTAAGCACCATAGAAGAGATTTCTTCAGGGTAGAAGGCTTTTTTCTCCCCTTTGTAGGAAACCATTACTTTCGGTTTCCCACCTTCATTGACCACTTGAAAAGGCCAAAGCTTCATATCTGATTGCACTACAGGATCATTAAATTTCCTACCAATGAGACGTTTGGCATCAAAGACGGTGTTCTGGGGATTCATGGCTACCTGGTTCTTGGCCGCGTCGCCTATCAGCCGCTCCGTGTCGGTGAAGGCCACGTAGCTGGGGGTGGTGCGATTGCCCTGGTCGTTGGCGATGATCTCCACCTTGCCGTGCTGGAACACGCCCACACACGAGTAGGTGGTGCCCAGGTCGATGCCGATGGCCATTCCCTTAGCAGTAGCCATGGTTTTCCGAGGCCTATAGTGAAAGAATGCTTTTTTAAGATTGTGGTAACATACATATAACATAAATTTATCATAGTTACCCTTTTTTTGAGGGGGGGCCTTGATCAAAAAAACTTGCTCCTCCCCCATCTTAACTACTTAATTGTAGTAAGTTCACCGACATCATTATTAGTTTTTAATAATCAACTTATTGTTTTTTTTTTTTAAGATTTATTTTTGCATACAAGAGTTGGTGTACAGGCCAGAGACACAGGGTGGGGGTTATAGAATTCATCAGAGACAGAGTGGGAAGTAGAACAGGCAGATTAACTGAAGTACACTGCTGAGAGGAGCAGCCAGCTGGTCAAGAGAGGTCTGCTGCACCATGTGGGTCAGCTCCCCTGGCTGGGGATCCAACTTGCACTACAGTGGCTCTGGACAGCTTCATAGTGCTTCCTTTAACCCACTACGCCACCAGGGAGAGCCCTAGTTCACTGACATTATCTAAACAATTGCCAAAACACTTTTCATCTGGTGAAAGTAAAAATCTATGTCCTTTAACCACTGCCCCACTCCTTCGTCCCCCCATCTGGGAGCAACCCTATACTTTGTTTCTATGAATGAGACCCCTCTAGGTACCTCATATTAGTGGTCTTATACCCAATTTTTCTGTTATTTCACTTAGCACAATAGCCTCAAATGCTTATTTCTATCATAGCCTGTGTCATTATTTCCTTCCCTTTCAAGGCTGAATAATACATATATATTTTAAAAGATTTATTTATGTATGCCTACAGAACTGGGGTATACGCCAGAGGTACAGGGATGGTGAGATGATTCACTAGAGACAGAGTGGGGAGCAGAACAGGCAGATTTGACAAAGTACACTGCTGAGAGGAGCAGCGGGAGGGACAGGAGAGGTCTGCTGCGCCATGTGGGTCAGCTCCCTGGTGGGGGGATCGAACTCCTGCTGAACCACCAGGGAGGTAATATTAATTGCATGTATATGGCACATTTTGTTTATTTTCTCTCTGAACACTTGGGTTGCTTCCACTTTATGGTTACCATGAATAATTACCTCAACGAAACTCATGCCATTGAGACGTTTGGCATCAAAGACGGTGTTGGATGGAGCTGGAAGGGATAATGCTCAGTGAAATAAATCAGAAAGAAAAAGAAAAATAGTGGTTTCACTTATAGGAAAAATATAGAGGAAAGAAGTAGGGATCAGAGGAAACAAAAAGTAATTACAATAAATTAAAAATCAAAACCAAGGCCCTCCCTGGTGGCACAGCAGGTTAAAGCACAGCACTAAGAAGCTAAAGCCACTTCGCATGAGTTCAATTCCTGCCTGCCCAGGAGGTGACCACGCGTGGCAGACCTCTCCTGACCCGCCCGCTGCTCCCCTCAGCAGTGTACTTCATAGATCTGCGTGTTCTGCTCCTCACTCTGTCTCTGGTGAAGCCTCTCACTGCCCCTCAGCCTCTGGCCTATACCCCAGTTCTGTATGCACAAATAAATAAATCTTTAAAAAAAAATCAAAACCAAATACCAGATGGTTTCACTCATAGCAGAAGCATACTGGGCCAAGGAAAAAAATAATAATAATGAACAACTATATACCAGAGACATTTTATGGGGTGGAATGGGGAATGGGATTAAAAACAATGGGGGGAGGGAAATGCACTGGACTATGGTGATGGCACACAGGTGATTTGGTGATGGGAAGCCCACAGGGATTACAACTGAGATGGAAAAAGGCACAAATGATGTAAAAATAAAACATTAATACTTTAAAAAAAATAATCAAAACCAACCGGTTACTATAAATCAGAGACATTCTGCAGGGGAGGAGGAAGAAGACTCAAAACGGGTGGGAACAGCACAAGGGATTATAGGGATGGGGCAAGGATGAACTGGTGATGGGAATTTCACCCGGATTACACCTGAGAGCAGAAAGCATACATTGTACAAAAGTGAAGAATGATTAAAATATGTGTATACTATACATATATATATATACACACACACAATATGTGTGTATATCTATACATATATATGTGTGTATAACATATCTATACATATACATGAACTCTGTATACCAGTAACATTTGGCCGTTAAATATCCCTTTCAGAACCCACTTTTGTGGCAGAATACTTTCTAGACAAAGTACTGTTAGCCAGCTAGAAGGATGTTGAAGGGCTGAGGGCATACACTGTTTCAGTTTCTCATGACTGAGCCAAATGTGCATTTCCTATGTCTCTAATATATTTTATTCTAATATTGCACCAGTTTCCTCCTTCTTAAGTAGGAGTAGCTTATGTTCTGGTCCTTTTCTGACACATTATCTCTGTACTTTTGGTTCAGCTTCCTCAGAAGAGATCTTAAGATCCACCTGGTCTTAGGTGAGAAAATAGTAAGAATAATGAAGAGTCATATACCAGAGACATTTTGTGGGGGTGGAGTGGGGAATGGGATCAAAGGGGGGGGGAGGGAAGTGCACACTACTATAGTGATGGCACATGGGTGACTCCGTGATAGGAAACCCACAGGGATTACAATTGAGATGGAAAAAAAAGTACAAAAATGATGTAAAAACAAACTATTATATTATATATATATTAAAAAAGATCCACCTGGTCTCTTGCTCCCCAAGAAAACTCCAATCTCTTGACAGTATCAAAGAGAGGCTCGTCCAGCTTTCTCAGCAGTTCTGGACAATCCCAGTCACTTGTGTGATCCTCAAAGGTTGCCCCTTTCTGTTGGGCCAATTCCCCCTGACTTTAACTTAAATAAACTACAACCTTCCAGCACTTTCTCAAACTTACTGGTCAAAGATTTAATAGTCTGATCTGTGCCCACGCATTCCAATTCCTTGACTCACCTATCTCGCCGCCTCCGATCCAGTTTGGAAAAGCTCGGATTTCGAGCCCCTGTAGGTGGGGGCTCCCTAAACGGGTGACAGGGCAAACGGTGTACCCCCACCCCCCACCCACCCCGCCCTACAACTCTTACTAGCTACTGTCCCACCATCCCAATTCCATACACGCGGTGAAGTCAGAGGCCCCATCTCCATTATAACGCAGAGAGGGGAGTTAGCGTCACTCCCGCCCCCTCCCCCGCCCTTGCCCCTCCTTTTCGTGAGTCCGGATTCAACTGGCCCCTTTTCGTGAGTCCGGATTCTAGCCCCTGACCGC